TATGAATCTTGCGATGGCTATCCCCTGCCCTCCCCCTCAACCCCACACCCCCACCCTCCGCACTCTCCCAGCTGCCCGTCCCTCTAAATCCTGCGCTGTCTATCCTCACTTGTCTAGACCTTAGCGAAGGTTTGGACATACCTCCCACTGATACATGTACCATCCCCCTAGCTCCCCCGTCCCTGTAAATACGGCAATGTCTATCCCCCCACCTTTACCCCCCCCCCCAGGACAGTGCTACTGATTGAAGTTGTCTATAGACCACTCCCAAAGAAGGGATATTAATATGTTCTTAGGCACAGTAGAATTGTAAATGGGCGGATTTATCAATGTCATGTCATGCTTATACAGTTCCGGAACAACATAGGGGGAACTGCTGCTTTTTCTTTCCTCACCCTTACTATCGTCGTTTTCCCTCTACTTCTTTTGTATGTTTGGTTTGTATCTCTCTTGTGACCGCTATTTCCGGGGTGCCTTGATAGTCGAAGCAAACTTTGTGCTGTTGAGGCTAGAGAGGTGAGCAGAGTAAGCCTGATTCCGTGTATGGACTTCTCCGTTGACATCCACCTCTTGGCGCTCATATGACCTTATGATGCATTTGCGAGCGCCGTAAAACTTTACTAAAATAGTTTCTTCGTCTGTCTGCTGGTGGTTCTGTATTGCACCAAACAAGGTTGGCCCTGACAGACAGGATCAAAGCAGCCCGCCTCCTAGATGATCTTAATTTTGTAGATACAGACGTGAAACACTTACAGTTACATACAATGCTGGACTCCAACTGTATATTATATTTTCGCCTGTGCGGGGCTTCCCCCTAGTGTGTGCGGCCTCCATAAGACAGGTCCAGTTGACGGCTTGTGTGTCGTCACCTACACACTTGTTTTTCCTCCAGAAATTTGCCTATACTTTTTCCCTACTCTCTCTGCCTATCTCTCACTCACTCTCTCTCTCTCTCTCTTTCTCTCTCTTTCTCTCTCATCTCTCTCATCTCTCTCCCCTTCTCTCTCTCTCTCTCTCTCTCTCT